AGATTGGGTTAGATTGGATTTTGGGTTTGGTTTTGTTAGATTAGATTAGGTTCGGCTAGATTAGAGTAGATTAGGTTCGGTTAGATTAGAGTAGATTAGTTTAGGTTAGGTTTGGTTAGATTAGGTTAGATTAGATAGATAGATACTTTATGGTTGTTATTGGGCATTGAAAAAAAACATCATGGGGATGCCATTGGAATGTCGCGGAAAACATTGCCAGGAGCTGCCGAGCAAATGCTGGTAGATAACCCAAGAAATTATGGTGTTGCGAGGTCACTACCATCTATTCATGTTATCTTTGTAGGTTATAGATAACCGTTGCAACGGTAAACAAGCAAAATGAACAGATGGTAGATGCTTCCGGGTACTTTGAGAAAATGTAGCCGCAGTCGTTCTGGTTATTATGTTTTAGAATAGTGGGTTATACAGCTGGCTTGGTGATAGATAATGATATTGGATTTGTGCTGATATTGGAATTGTGGTAGATAAGTTCTAATATTTGAATTATGCTTAGTTTACGTAGTATGGTTTGGCTAACTATATTATATACCACTACCCAATTAATTCGGATTGCACACAATCCCCTTAAGGTTGCTTAAAACCAATCCAGCTGCAAACATATCTACCATAAACCCTGGTTATACCATGAGCAGTACGCAGTTATATATATATATATCAAAAATGCTCCAGGTTTATTTCAGTTGACCAATTGGCAGCATAGCCAAGCATAGATACCAATCGCAAAAAGAAACGTGGTATGGATTTCCTCCATTGGTAGCCAAAAAAAATGCCCCACAAATCTCGCTCACCTACTCAAACAAGGCTTACCCAGGGAGTACGGATATGATACTGAGCATCTAGAAAAAGGATGTGACTCCCCAAAATGGAATGTCAGCCAAGAAATTGTTGTGGTTGGTGGTTTCAAGCTTCAGGTACCCGTACCTAAAAATGGGATCTTGTGATCCCAATTCAAAATGTCCTTTCGACTGACTGAAATGTTCCAACTAATTGTTAATCTTGCATATTGATTTCAGTCCATCCAAAGATTTCTATCTAAGCTTCCCATATAAATGTTCCATTGAATCCATTGAGCAAATCCATATGAATATAAATTTCTATCAATTCATTGATTTCAGTACTGATTACAGGAAACTGCGCATTGGTTGGAGGTGTCCAGCGTGAACTTTCCGTAACTCATCATGTTCGGTCATCCAGGGGTGGAAGCGTCCGTTGATCATCGAAACTTCATGGGATTTCCCCATGGGAAGCTATAGTTCCCCTCTGGTTTTAAAACATAGCTATGGGGAATGGGTTATAGAAATAAATGATTGATATATATATATATATATATATTAGAAATAAATGATTTATACATATATATATACGGTAACTACATTTAAATATACGGACTTTTAAATATACGAACTGGTATTTTAGACTACCTCCGGGAAGGTTTTCCTTGGCCCGCCCGGCCATTTAAACATACGGAATCCAATTCATTTAAACATGCGGTAGCTACATTTAAATATACGAACTGGTATTTCATACTACCTCCGGGGCCTCGCGGTCTGGCCTGCCCTCCACATATTTAAATGTCGTTACCGTATATATATATATTAGAAATAAATGGTTTATATATATATGATTTACGGTTCTTAAAGATTGGATTGTTTATTAACAGCAAACGATGAGTCTTCCAAAGGGTACCTTGCCGGATGACATGTTAAACAGTTAAACATGGTCCATGTTGAGAGATTTTTGGTGTCAGCCATTTTTACATGGGGATACTACGTGATATTAATATAATCTCTAACGGGTGGGACATTTACCAACCCCTTACTAGAAGGGCGACACACCTGATGTGCCAACATGTGCCAACTACCGGGAAGCTAACTGTGCCCTATCACTATATGGCTATGGTGTTTAGCCAAGAAAATGGCGACTCAACCAAGAAAAAGTGTATATAATTTAAGGGGATTTACCGACACTCATTGGATTTACAGTCTTAGAACCCTATAATAACTTGGATATGATGTTCTCTCACACCCCAAAGTGCCCTGCGTCCAGAAAAACCTTTGGATAGTCCATCTTACTTTGGCAAGTAAGGTGAAGTAAGCCCATTCACGAGTGGGTGCCTCATGGCAGCCTCGCAACTACAGCAGCTTTCTTTTTCAGCATTCAAATGCTCCTCCCTAGCTGGCTGCATGCTGTGGAAACCATACTTCCGAACAATGTAAAATATGCAAAACTTATATGCAAAATCTACAAATACTGGAACTCGTCTTCAACAGCAGAACAGTCACCGCCGCAGTCCGGATCGCCCCAGGCAACCACTGATCCATCAGCCAAGATCGCAGCAAATGCCTTATCTGTAGCCTGGATTTGCTGCACGTTCATCAGCTGATCCTGAACTGTGGAGCTGTCACCACCAGAGTCTGGACATCCCCAGGTAACAACAGATCCATCGTCCAAGATAGCGGCAAATGCACCGCCTGTGGCCTGAATTTGACGCACATTCCTGAGCTGATCTTGAACTGTGGAGCAGTCACCACCGCACTCTGGATGGCCCCAGGCAACCACAGATCCATCTGCCAAGATCACGGCAAATGCGCTTTCTGTGGCCTGAATTTGACGCACATTCCTGAGCTGATCTTGAACTGTGGAGCAGTCACCACCGCACTCTGGATCACCCCAGGAAACAACAGATCCATCGTCCAAGATAGCGGCAAATGCATCGCCTGAGGCCTGAATTTGACGCACATTCCTGAGCTGATCTTGAACTGTGGAGCAGTCACCACCACGGTCTGGCTCGCCCCAGGCAACCACTGACCAATCGGCCAAGATCGCAGCAAATGCTTGACCTGTGGCCTGAATATGCTGCACATTACAGAGCTGATCTTGAACCTCAGAGCAGTCACCACCACAGTGCGGATCTCCCCAAGCAATCGCTGATCCATCAGCCAAGATTGCAGCAAAGGCACCGTCACGTGTGGCCTGAATTTGTTCCACATTACGGAGCTGAAGTTGAACTTCCCAATGAGGCATGACATTGCCCCAGGCAACTATCTTGTTCCCTCCACAGCACCACGCAGCAAACGCTCTATCAGTTGCAGCTACTTGCACCTGCTGTGCCACAGCAGTTAGGTGCTCTCCGTCTTGCACCCCTGCATCTTGCAATGATTCCTGAGGGTTGGTCAGTACATGTCCTTCCAGAGTCACGAGTTTCAGGAAACCCTGCCCGAGAGATCTCTGGGCCAGAATTTTCAAGTCTCCCACTTTGGAGAGTTCAGGAAGTGACAGAGTTTGGCCAGAACCACTTGGGAAGGATACAACTACTCGAAGCATTCCTTCAGAATCAAGAAACACCGTCGAGCCGTCGAGCCGTCGAGGCGCGTCACCCTGGGGCGACATCGACACAAAGGCTGTCCGTCGACGCTGTCCATCCCTTTTTGCATAGAGATACCGACACTGGCAATTTGACCTGGCAGAATCCACCCTTTTTTTTTGTCCATGGATAGGATTGTGATTTTTTTTGACAAGTGGTGTTTCCCGCTACTCAAGTTTTGCCCCATGTTTCCTTGGTCTATTCCATGTTTTTGCTGGTTGAACCGAAATTCTCAGTTTTTGATACACATTCCAGAATTTGTTTAGTTGAAACCACACCGTTTGAAAACACTGGGTTCCCTTGTACTGGTGTCCTTGTCTTCCCTACTGTAGCTATCTCCCCTTGTGTATCGGATATCTCTCCATGTTCATGGACTATGTAGATACCAATTCCTGGCACTTCAAATCTCATGTTGTTCACAAATATCACAACTCTCGCAAGTTATGTCCCCTCAGACCCTCCAGTAAAACTTAAAATACCTAGACTCGACAGGTATTCGACAAATTTGCCTGTCATCCAGCTCATTTATCATTAATGATTGGATATGATTCGTATATCCAGTAAGGTTCTTAAAATACCTTGACTCTCTATTATCTCCAGGTAGACAAATATCCAGCTAATATACCGATCATTTTGGGATATTTTTTGGGACTCTTTACCCATCACGGCTACAACGCCCAGCTCCTGCAACGCCGTGTCAATATCCACAGTTTCATCTGCACGGAGGTACCTACACAGCTGGGACTTTTTTTCGGGGGGCACTGTTCCTGGTAGAAAGCCCCCATTGAAACCTGTGCCCATTTTTGGCGAACAAAAATGGGGGATATTCAGATTGGATGCCAGTGTATTTGTTAAAAACCGCACATAATTCGCCTAGTGGGGATGCAATGGGAATATATTGGTCTATGCTGCAATGTGGTGCCCTCCAGGTTTTGTTTGTTGCTTCATGTTCCAACACGACTAGTTCAATATGTCTGCACCCAACACGTAGGCACCTCCAGGATGCTTGGTTAACCCCATGTTTGTTGCTTTGACACTCCGAGAAATCCCCATGGAAATCACCATAGTTTCTGAAAAATCACCACCATCCATCACCTGGTGATCACCCATCAATCGCCCATTCAATCCTGGTAAAATCACCACCATCAATCCGTTAAACCTAGTAAATCACAGTTAAATCACCACCTGACTAGTCCACCCACTGAGCCAAGGACAGCATGAACTTGCTGGGAACCGGCGGCACCGCTGCCTGCGGAGCTGAACATCTATGCCTTGCTGGTCAAACATATACACATAAATATCGAGTCGATTGATATTATATATCTATCATATAAACTCATGTACCAGAAAATCAGAAATATACATTTGGTCTGTGAAGAATGCGAAATCGACAGTTATTTACTGTGAAATAACGGAGATATATGTATACAATATTCATATACTATGGACATAAGATAAATTAAGATAATATGTGTTATGTGCAAAATATTTTTGTTAGATGTAGATATTGGATATAGACATGGATAAATACTCAATCGTCTGCGTTCAGAACGCGAAATCAATGGTGATTTCATGGGATTTGACGGTATTTATAATGGAGATATGATCGGTAGATTAATCCCTTCCCCTGCCCTGAACTAAACACCCCCAAGAAACCATATGGTTTAGTAGGGGATGAAATCACTTATTTGGGACCATTTGCGGGCAGCTCAATATTGGAGGGATGGGATTTCATATTCAGCATGTGTAAACACACGTCGGTGTGATGTTACTATACCCTGCTTGCGGCAATTGCTCATGTCATCATCAAGGCAACTACTCATGTAGATAATCTATCATATATATTTATATACATGTATATGTATAGAATTTTTATAGTATCTGATAACATGTTTCATAATCTATCATATATATATAATCATGTATGTCACGATGTAAACCATTGCTCATTCTTTATATAAATATAAATAAACATAGAAATTATAATCTGATATAAACGTACATATAATCAACACCCAGCAATTAGATACAAATTATATATATATAATCAGATTATTCTGATATTACATGTATATTAATATCATGTAATCCCCCTTGCTCCACCCAGCTCCAGCACCTTTTCCCACCGCATCAACTCCCGCATCAGCAGCGTCCCCGCCGTGGGCATCTCTTCCAGATGCGAGGTCCGGTGGTCGAGCGCAGCCAGGTCGTGCTGAAGCAAACGAAGAGTCTTGGCCTGACTTTTCATGAGAAAATGTGGGAAAAAGATGAGAAAGAAAGAAAACATGCTGTAATACCAGTTTTTTTCTACTACCATATCATGGAGATACAATGGCAAACGGGAGATCTAATCGGGATATAATGGGATATCATGGGATACAACGAAAGATTGATTTTCATGGGAAGATCGAACCCGCACAACCATGGGTTTTTTCTGCCCCCCTCCAATATTTCTTTACGGGGGGGTTCTCCAAATTGTCCATCGTCCAAATATAGGAACATATAGGAACCATTGAAGCATGAAAATGGGGAGACCTTCTATTGGATGTGCATCCCAAGCTCCTTGAGAAGCTGTAACTTCGTAACTTTGCAATATTCCAATCCAAACTGAGATAAAGCTACGAGTAGCAGCTAGAACGGAGGTTATATAAATCAACCACTTGCTGACTCCAATGCATATCATGCATGTATTCCTCCAGAAGCTAATATATACAAACACGCGTGTATGGACCTGGATCTGTTTGGACCTGGCATCGCGTTTGGAATGCTTTGGACACCAGCTCAACAACATCAATATTTGTCAATACATCCCAAAAATATGAGTCCAGAAAGGGGTCATCATCCCAGTTAGGATGGAGGAAACAAAATGAAAGCAGCATCCAAATGACTCGCCAGTGTCATGGGTTCTTCCAGTTCCACAAGAAAAACACAACTTAGAGGGTCCAAAGTCCAAAGTTCATTCCTGTGGTGATACAGAACTGGATGTTTCTCATCATTGGGGTATCCCCTTAGAATGAGTTGGAATTGGAATGACCCAGAATCAGACAACCTCCAGTGACCGGGGAAAAAAAATAAATACGACCGTAGAGAATCCCATGAAATATGAAATCACACTTTTTTGTTGGTTCACTCCCGTGAAATCACGATTTGTTCTCACTTCACTCCCATGAAATCATCATTTTTGCATGCTGAAAACCCATGAAAAATCACCTTTTTGTTGGCTAAATCCCCTGAAATCACCATTAAGTCCCAGTAAATTCGATTAAATCACCATTTGTGTTGGCTAAATCCCTTGAAACCACCATTAACCAGGCCATTTTTTGCCAGCGCTCTTCCAGAGCCCTTCGACTTGGCATTGGCATCAGACCCAGAGCTGCCAGAAGGTCGAAGCCGTTGATGGCCACGCTCTTTCCTGGACTTTTTGAAGGGTTGAAAGCCTGGTTTCATGGTGATTTCATGGGGATTTCATGGCTCCAAATATATAACTGTGATTTCATGGTGATTTCATGGGGATTTCATTGTGATTTGGATGGAATTTGAACAACAACAATGGTGATTTACTGGGGATTTCATGGGGGTTGACATTGAGGATTTAAGGAACAAAACGCGGTGATTTTTCATGGGACATCATGGGACCTAACCAGCAGAAATGGTGATTTACATGCTGATTTGATGGTGGATTGATGGGATTTAGTGGTGAATGAATTCCCAAAAAAGATTCCCCGACCGGGGGTTCCGCTTAAAATGTTCCACCAATTCTGGGATGTGAATTTTGGAGTTTACAACCGCTGGTCAGCTTGGTCAGCTTTGTCTGGGTTCAATATCGATTTTGAGGAACCCTTAGTTTGCTGGAGGTTTGCAATCGGTTCAATGAGATTTATAGCAGACACACAGAGGGTCCGGGCATCAAAGGGATGTACCATCTGGTTATTGAACATAGCCATGGAAAATGGCCCATTATAGATGATCTTCCCATTAAAACGTCCATTTATAAGGGATTTTCCATGGCTATGTTAAATAACCAGATGGTATCCTCCACGACACACTAAGCGACTGGGTGCATCTACCCACATCTACCTACAACAAGGTGCTGCGAGGATCTTCATCTACAAAAACATATTGCAACATATCTGCGGAGTCAGCAATCAACAACATGTTCAAAAAGCACCAAGTTCCTGATACCCTATGGTAATTTGTTACATAACTATTGGAAATCACCATGCTATTAATGGCTAAATCAACTATTTCGACTGGGCCATTTTCAATAGTTATGTTAGTTTACCAGAGGGTAATGGAGAGTTCTTCGGGTATCTCAAAGCCTAATGTGGTAAACCGCCACAGATCTAGCATTTGAGGATGGTAAACATCCCAAAATCATGACGGGGATGGGTCGATATCCCAGGGTCGATAGCCAAAATCACATGTTTCTTCTCGCTTTGACTCCCATTCTATTCCCTGTTCAGAATGGTTCCCATTGGCAGCTCCACCCTTGAGAAAAAACGCCGTGCATCCGTTGCTGCAATCATTTAAATCACCATTTAAATCACCACATGTGTCCGTAGTTACTATAGTTCAATCCCATCTTTCTCCCATTTTTCTCCCAACAAAAAAAACCAACTCATATATCAATATATAACATATCATATATCATATCCCCATTTTCATGGGTTACTTGGATGGGCCAGAGGATTAACGATTCCTGGTTAGTAACTGGGGTTATAACCCCCTATATCCCAATGAAATAATCCATTGACATCCATTTACTAACTAGTTAATTAACTCCATGGCCCATCGAAGTATAGTCCATCATCCCATACTTATTACTATAGTTCATAACCAATAGTTCTCAAAAAAACTATAAATAGTTTTGGATGCCAATTACTATACGTAGTTATTAACTAATGGTTTATAATTTATAAACCAATTTACCCTCTGGTAAACTAACGTAACTATGGAAAATCACCATGTTTAATGGGTAAATCCACTATTTCTATGGCCATTTCCAGTAGCTATGTTAGTTTACCAGAGGGTATAGTCCGGCACGTCCACCCTTTCTTCGCTTCGCATCCGTTGCTGCAGTGCATCTGCGGCAGCGCCACGTCCCGAAGCATCTGGGCCAAGCGCCTCTGCAGCAGCGGGACGCAGCCGAGCAGCGCGGGAAGCTGTTGACAGTCCTGGCCGCGGCGGTGGTGCCCCAGGGCCTTAAGGAAAACCATAGGAAATCTCGAAGAAACATGCTAAGAAACCAAGAAAAATGAGAATTTACAGGGATTCATAGCTGATTTATGTTGGCTAAGTGAACTGATAACTAGGTGAATTCTAAACCAACGTTCACATCACTTCCGTACCACCTTGCTGCTGGGTCAACGATTGAGTCCCCAGGCCGCTGCTTGGGAACCCAGTCGACAGGTTGCGAATCCGGTGACTTTTGGAATCCGATTGGTATCCTCAGGATCCTGGGCAGTATACCTAACAATCATGGAGATGCCACCTAGAAGGAACAAATACTATATATATATATGTGTGTGTAATATATATATATGTAATCAGTAATATATATATATATATACATATATATATATACATATATATATACATATGTGTGGTGGTTTCCTAAAATGGTGGTACCCCAAAATGGATGGTTTATGTTTATATGGAAACTCTGATTAAAATGCATGATTTAGGGGTATCCCCATTTCAGGAAACCTCCATCTATAACACATTGCAAGTCCGCCAGCCGCGGTCAACTTGATCGGGAGGATAAGTACACCCTATCAGTATCTATATGGTATTTAGCCACAGAAAAATCTGACGTCACCACGAAACATGGTGATTTAAGAGGATTTAACCAACAAACATGGGGTTTTTAACACATCTAATACCATACAAATGGCTCTGTCGAGTGGGATAACAACCAGCATGATATTTGTCTTTGAAAATCGGGGTATTTATTTTTTCCCCTGATGAAACAAACAATGCCAGTATTGACATTTTACCGTTATTACCATAGTTATACCCATAGTTATTACCATAGTTATACCATAGTTATACAGTTATACAGAATGAATGAGATTCCCCGGTTTTCAGATTCGTATCCTACTTAGATGGGCAATGGGATGTTGCCGATTCCTGGTTAGTAACTGGGAATATTCTTTACCCTCAAAAAATCCCAATGAAATAATCCATGGCTACCAACTAGTTAACTAACCTAGATTCGTATCTGGTTGGTGGTATAGTAGTTTCAACTTTCAACCCCTCCGAAAAACATGAGTCACTTGGGATGATTAGTGTTCCCAATATGATGGGAAAATCATGATCCATTCATGTTCCAAACCACCAAGCAGTAGTACTATTACTGGATAAATCCAGCCACTCACAACTCCAAAACTTGGACTATGCGGGCCGTAAAGGTGAGCAAATCCCTCCTGCAGCAGCTGTCAATTGCGGCTCGTGGGCTGTACACTGTGGAAATGTCACTTCCTTACAAGTTGTACAATATGCCAAGAATAGATATGCAACATATGGACAGGACATTCTTCTACAAATACTGAAACTCATCTTGAACAGCAGAACAGTCACCACCACAGTACGGATCTCCCCACGCAACCACTGATCCATCGGCCAAGATCGCTGCAAATGCATCACCCGTGGCTTTCATCTGCTGCACATTCCGCAGCTGATCTTGAACTGTGCAGCAGTCGCAGTCTCTACTAGGCATGAAGTTTCCCCAGGTAATTATCCTGTTCCCTCCACAGCACCACACTGCAAAAGCTGCACCTGTTGCCGTTGCTCTTGCATGTTGTGCCACAGCAGTTAGGTGCTCTCCGTCTTGCACCCCTGCATCTTGCAATGATTCCTGAGGGTTGGTCAGTACATGTCCTTCCACAGTCACGAGTTTCAGGAAACCCTGTCGGAGAGATCTTTGGGCCAGAATTTTCAAGTCTCCCACTTTGGAGAGTTCAGGAAGTGACAGAGTTTGGCCAGAACCACTTGGGAAGGATACAACTACTCGAAGCATTGACAAAAAATCCGCAAGAATTGTCCTCCGTGCAACATCTCGAGCCGTAGAAAAGCTGAATGCACATGACATCGCCGTTACTAAGGAAGCCAGTGGTTGTCCACCTCTTTTTATAGTCATCTTCTGGTAACTTAAATTGGCAATCAAAATCCACCAGGTTTGCGCATGGATTGCGATGATTTTCCCAATGACAAGTGGCGTTTCTCATTGCCTTGTTTGGTTGTCCCATATTCCTTGGTCTATGCCCAATTCTTGTTGGTGAAACCCTCATCTGTTTTTTGATACACATTGCAAACAAATGAAAAAAAAGAACTCAAGTTTTGCGGGTATCATCATCTTTACTAGGCTACTGTATATCCCTTTGTTCATTCGATATGTCGCCATGTTCATGGACTAGGTACAGATTCATTCCTGACACTTGAAAATTTCATGTTGTTCACTAGAAATCGCAACTTAACCCTTCACCAGTTGGTCAAGCAAGATCAATTTGCTAAAATCATCTTAAGATGACGACAACACCCACACTGAAAGAATTGCTCGGTTAACGTCAATTGACTCCTGAAACTCGCCACTTCACTCAAATCAGCTTACCCTCTGGTAAACTAACATAGCTATTGAAAATGACCATGTATAGTAGATCTTCCCATTGAAAATGGTGATTTTCCATAGTTATGTTAATTCACCAGAGGGTAAAACCACTAACTACTTTCTACATCTACAAACAGTTGACGAAAACCGAAAATCTCTCGTGAAATCACTGTTCGTTTGTTTGATGTGTTGAACAACATGGTTTTACTACCCTGCAGTACTGCTTCTTTTTGGTGAATACACGTGAGTTTCAATACATCCCACGGTTAAAAACCTCGACCCATGCATCCCATCCTCTCTGGGGATGGTGCCCCAGGTATGTGAACGTTGGTTTATAAACCCCATTAACTATTTCGTTATATCATGTTCTATCTACCATAAACCATAGAATTCAGCCACTTATAAGGCGATATCATGCTATATCTAGCATAAACCATAGAATTCAGCCACTTATACTTTTATGTTCGGCGTTTCTGAACGCTACATCTTGCGGGCCCTATAACTACAACTGCAAACACCAACCCGTTTTCACCGTGTCCGGCGTGTCATCTCCTCCTGTATCGCCACCATGCTCGAGATGCTGATGGCATCGACGGAGCTCTTCTGAAAGAGTTGCAGCGCCAACTGCCAGGGAGCTCCACCTCCGCAGAAGCGAGGCAAAATCCCAGTGGCTTTACAGGTTCTGAAAATGCCATTTCTTCATGGGATTTAATGATTTAGCTCATTAGCTATGTGATTAGCTATGTGATTTCACGGGATTTGAATCTAGGCAATAAACAAGGTACCGGCGCCGCGACCCTGAGGAATTTGAACATTGTTCAAAATGGCAAGAGCTCAAAACCTGCATTTGTTTATGTGGAAGTCAAAATTTCAAGGCTTCAAATTCGTTGGTATTTGCAAGAAGACCAGCCTTTTTTCATTTTAGGCCAGTGGAATTGCGGTTTTCAGGATTCTTTTTTTGAAAAAAACAAAAACCCAACTTTCTCACAAGAGATATCTTATTTGAAATGAAGTTATCGTTAAGTAGCGCAGTCTCATCTATGTATATGAAATGAACTTCAAGTAGCATGGCATGTTATATATTTGATATGATATTAACTTTACGTAGCTAAGCATCGTCTATGTTACATGAAGTTATCTAACTTCAAGTAACATAACTTTTTATTTAAAATTAAGTTAACGTCAAGTAGCGTAGCAACATCTATGTTACATGAAGTGTGCTTGATTTAGCATAGCATTACGTATATGACAAGAGGTTATTTTGAAGTAGCATCTCATCTTATTCGAACTGAAGTTCACGTAAAGTAGCGCAGCATCTTGTATGTATGCAAGCGCTATTGAACGTTATTGCACCCCCCCCACCCCCCCACCCACCCACCCCCCCCACCCCCCCCACCCCCCCCCACCCTCCGAACCCCACGATCAAAAGCAAGTAGCGTAACATCACGTATGTTAGTGCAGGTCAGCGTCAACGTGATTGCAATCCCCTGAGCGTGCAAGACATGTGTGCAAGTGCAAGATTTGTTTGAGCAGCATACAATGATGTATGCTGCTAGTTCAACTTAACCTGACATAGCAAAACATCATCTATGTTAGGAGAAGTCAACATTACATATCGTAGCATAAATTACATTAGATGAAGTCACCTTTCAGTAGCGCGGCATCACCTGCACCTTACAAGCAACGTCGAGTAACATTGTATCTTCTACAAATGCAAATGCTATTAAACGTTATTGCACCCCCCAACCCCCCACCCGAAACCCCTAAAAACTATAAAATTGTGTTTCCTGGTCGCTAACAGCGCCAGCATAAACAAAGGTGTCATGGCATGTTCAACCAGAATGAGTTTTGGGACACCACGGAAAATGGTTGACCATGGCTTGCAATCAGAATACACGAACGGGGCGCCTGCTTACCCAGATATCAATGGGAGCCAGTTTTTTCGTGACTTATTTTTAAGGGCTTAAAAAAGTATTTATCTTAGCTTAAGTGGTTTTCGGAAGCATGAGATTCATGGGATATCCCCAGTGAGATTCACTGGTTATAGGATGATTGCCCACTTATGCCGATGCACCATTTCGATGGACCAAAGATGTGAAGAAACAGTTCGGCACATTTCGGCACTGCAGCGGGATGGAATCTTCAATAACTTTGACAGAAAATCAGATGAATCCCCCAAACTATGGATTTCATCCCTAAGATGTGAATCCCTACTAGACACGGGATGAAATGGGTCAAAAACATGGGGGAAATCACACCCAGAAATTGGCGATTTTTTAGGGAGACACTGATAATCCAATGGATGAAATGGGCTCGATTTTCAGACCCAAATGACAACAGCCATGGCCATTTTTTTGAAGAACCCAAGGTGAACCAGCGATGATTCTGTAACAATTTCCAGCCAGGATTTCTTATGCGCAAAATATGCAAATCAGCAAGAAATGAAAGAAACACATTGCTGTTGTTGGCTCCCAAGGAAGAGTGGGGAATGCATGGGTCAATGGGGGAAGTTTGCCCAAATTGTCACATTAGCCAGCTGGTTGGTGGTATACCTACCCCTCTGAAAAATATGAAAGTCAATGGGAAGGATTTTCCCAGATATTATGGAAAATATAAAATGTTCCAAACCACCAACCAGCCAGTTTAGAAGTTTGTGTCATTCAGCTGGCTCTAACCTCTGGACACTAGAGTCATGAAATCGGGTGGTTCCAAGGTACCGCGGTGGCAAAGTTTTTTGTGTCAACTCTTGGTGACGTTTCACTTTTGTGTTTGATGACTGAATGGGACTTATACAATGAAAACTAGTTGGCTAAGCTGGTGAACATAACTGCAATAAACTATGATTTATGGCAGATAGATATATATATATAATATGTGATATATCATGATATATCTGTAGTTAATGGGCTGTTTGACCAACTAATAAGTGAGGGGTCACCACCTTGTATGTTGGAGGATTGGAACGACTTGGAACCAGGTAGGCGCCTGCAAGAGGCACATCAGTTTCAGCTGCATGCTTAGCAAAAATTCCCCCATTTCTTTTGCAAAAGATGAAAACTTGGTGGTTGAGCCACCCCTCTGAAAAATATGAAAGTCCGTTGGGATGATGACATTCCCAATATGATGGGAAAAATAAAACATGTTCCAAACCACCAATCAGCTATAGTAAGCCATCCAAAAATATTAGGTTTAGTTTGTGGCTTTAAAAAAATATGTTACAAACAGGATGATTCATGTCGCCTCCAAATGTTCATTTGTTGGGAATCCTCCCACTAAAAAGGAATCATCCAAAGTATCCAGATGCAAATCATAAGAATCTTTTGCAGTGTAAATCCATGTACCCTCTGGTAATTTGGTACATAGCGAACTGGAAATTAATAGGTAAATCAAAACTCTAAATGGCATTTTTTCCATAGCTATGTAACAAATTACCAGAGGGTATATAAATCCCACAATTGTTGATATGTCTTCATCCCATACCCAGACATGTTACCTTTCCCCCCAAGGCTGTCCCTTTCCCGCACCACTACCCCCCACTCCCGCCTCTCTGCAGCATCACCAGGAAGGAGTTGAGTGAAACCAGGTTGAGACCTTCCACGTCGAGACGTTGCAGGGCCTCCGCCCAGTTTTTGCCTTGGCAGCGAAACGTGCAGAAAAAACAGCGAAAAAGCCTTCAAAAACTCCCCATGACGATTTAAGGCGAAGCCCCCCAAAAAAAAAACTGGAAAACCAAGAAAATAATGAGTATGAAATGTTGTGTATATACAATAGGAGGATGGGGTTACCCTTGGGTAATCAAACGTGGCAATGGAAAATTTTCCGCATTTGTAGTTGATGTTCCCATTCATTCCTCCATACTGGGGATTTCCCCTGGCCAGGTTTGATTACCAGATTTCCCGCAGCCACGGTCAGAACACGTGTGTGAAAGCCCCCCGTTTTTCTTTAATCCACGTGTGATCAAAACTAACTGGTGCGTTTTACGCAGAGAATGGATGGGTTGCTGGGGGTTGCTGGGATGATTATTGATAGTTAGCCAGTGGATCATTCCCTCATTCCCTGCGTTTAGCACCAGTAAGATTATAATGGTCCACATGGGCCATGATCAAAACATGGGTTATGATCATCCCACCATTATCGCGAATCAATGATGCTATGACCACGCTCCAATACAAGTATTCAATCCAGCCTGTGACCATGGCACATATGTATACATATGTATACAGCATATGTTGCGTCTTGAAATGGAGATAGATCGGGCCCTTTTTTCACCATTCTCTGACACGCCCATGTAATGATCCTATGGCTGCATCACGCTGTCACGCCGTTGGAGCCCTGCAGGCAGTGGAATTTCACTGGATCGTGGTTTCAACCTTGAATTTCAAAACAATGATTGAAAAACTTCAAAACTGTCATTTGGGGCCATCAGGTGATCTCATTCAAATCAAAATTTCAACCCCATTGCGGCTTTCTGATTGCCCGTGCCAAATCTATAAATACTGCAGCTCATCTTGAACTGCGGAGGAGTCGCCACCGTTGTCTGGATCACCCCAGGTAACTACCGATCCATTGGCCAAAATCGCAGCAAATGCGCTATCTGTGGACTGAAGCTGCTGCACATTCCTGAGCTGATCTTGAACTGCAGAGCAATCACCACCAGTGTTCGGATTGCCCCAAGCAACCACTGATCCATCAGACAAGATCGCGGCAAATGCGCTATCTGTGGACTGAAGCTGCTGCACATTCCTGAGCTGATCTTGAACTCCGGAGCTGTTGCCACCAGCGTCAGGGTGGCCCCAGCTAACCACTGATCCATCAGACAAGATTGCTGCAAAGGCACAAGATGTTGATTGAATTTGCTGCACATTCCTCAGCTGACCTTGAACTGCAGAGCAGTCACCACCATTGTATGGATCGCCCCAGGTAACTACCGATCCATTGGCCAAAATCGCAGCAAATGCGCTATCTGTGGACTGAAGCTGCTGCACATTCCTGAGCTGATCTTGAACTCCGGAGCTGTTGCCACCAGGGTCAGGGTGGCCCCAGCTAACCACCGATCCATCAGACAAGATCGCGGAAAATGCCCAAGCAGTGGCCTGAATTTGCTGAACATTTTTCAGTTGATCTTGAACTGCGAAGCAGTCACCACCCAAAAAAGGATGTCCCCATGCAACCACGGATCCATCGGCCAAGATCGCGGCAAATGCCCCTTCTGTAACCTGAATTTGCTGCACATTCCTGAGCTGATCTTGAACTGCTGAGCAGTCACCACCGTTGTCTGGATCACCCCAGGTAACGACACATCCATCGGCCAAGATCGCGGCAAATGCGCTTTCTGTGGCCTGAATTTGCTGAACATTTTTCAGCTGATCTTGAACTGCTGAGCAGTCACCACCGTTGCCTGGATCACCCCAGGTAACGACACATCCATCGGCCAAGATCGCCGCAAATGCTACATGTGTGGCCTGAATTTGCTGAACATTTTTCAGCTGATCTTGAACTGCAGAGCAGTCACCACCATTGTCTCGATGGCCCCAGCTAACCACGGATCCATCAGACAAGATCGCGGCAAATGCATAAAGTGTGGCCTGAACTCGTTCCACATTCTTGAGCTCACATTCGACTGCACCGCAGTCAGCACCCCAGCGTGGATTGCCCCAGGTAACCAGCCGGTTGCCTCCTCCGCACCACAAAGAAAATGCTTTGCCAGACGAAGATATTTTTGCGTCTTGCACCACAGCCGCTAGGTCCTCTCCGTCTTGCATCCCTGCAGCTTGTAAAGATTCCTGAGGGTTGGTTAGGACATGCCCCTCCACAGTGACGAGTTTCAGGAAGCCCTTTCTGAAAGTTTTTTGGGCCAGAATTCTCAAGTCCCCTACTTTGGAGTGCTCAGGGAGCAACAGAGTTTCTCCAGAACCACTCGGGACCGATATCCTCACCTGAAGCATTGGAATAAACACGAAATGGAAATTCCACTCACAAGACAATACTTACCCGGTTACTACCACCTGGATATTTTAATAGTAGGTAAATCCTTGTCTATTTATCATCTATAAAACTGGAAATTCCACTCACACTACAGTTATGGCCCTTCACAGGTATACCTGGTTTTGCAATATCTTACAATGATATTTATATAACCAACTAGTTACAGGACTTATTTCATCCCATTCCTATCTTTACCAAGGCCATACCCTCTGGTAAACTAACATAGCTATTGAAAATGGATGATTTATAGTGGATTTACCCATTAATAGCATGGTGATTTTCCATCGTTTTTTGTATGTTTACCAGGCCGGGTAACTGTACCTTCAACATGTGCCCAACGAACCATGTGTCGTTGATCAGCTTCTTGAGCCGGTGAAGCAGCCGATGACCCTGGTGGAACCCTGGGAACCCAATTCCCCCAACAACCAGCCGTTTGAAACTTCGAAACAACGCTGAGAAATAGGAGACAGGAGATCTGGTTGGTGATTAATGGCTAATTTAACAGTGATTAATGGTGATTAATGGTGGTGATTAATGGCTAATAGTGAATTAATGGTTAATAATGGTTAATATATAATGGTTATCTGGTTGGTGGTATACCTACCCCTCTGAAAAATGATGGAGTTCGTCAGTTGGGTTTTTGACATTCCCAATGTATGGAAAAAAAAAAGTCATGTTCCAGACCACCAATCAGAATAGTGGTTTTAGTGGTTTAAACATCCAGCTGAATGAGTTCTTCTAAGTTCATTCGAATTCAAAATCCCGAGTTTTCAATGTCAAGGACCGAACATATCCCAAAACTGTTTCTCGCGATGCTATCCTCACTGGAATTTTCACCCTTGGTGCTATTCCAGTGGCCCATCGAGCGGTATCCCCAAACAACTGATACAGGTTCTGCTTAGGCGTGCTTAGGGGTTAGAATCCAGTTAGAATCACCATTAATCCTATTAATGTGGGTAAAACAATAATAAACCATCCCCCAAATCACCATTTTTATAGGTGGTATAAACCATTCCCAGTCATGGGTGGTTTATGGCATTGTTTTACCCACATTACTTGCATTGCCCATCTATGATCCCTGCCCCCTGATATCACTTTTTATGCACATCCACTCAACCATATCCTGGTTTAGACTTGGATCAATGGACGTACTTCATAGGGGGGATCATAAAAGATGGGATTTCCAAAGATCATCTAAGCTAGTGTTATACATAAATATGTTATATATATATGTTGGTTAGTTATAGTTGTAAAACAAAAATTGTATAGCCTATTCTGTTTGGGAAAATGAGTCACTTATGGTCAACATGATCCCAAGTAACTAACATCCACAGCCAATCTGAAATCACCTGAAGATCATCCAAGCAGTATGTCTTATGTTTACTTTGTTAATAACCCATGCAAATAATTACATCGCACTGTATGTATGTATGTATGTATGTATGTTTGTATGTATGTATGTATGTATGTATGTATGTGTGTGTATGTGCGTATGTGCGTATGTGCGTATGTGCGTATGTGTGTATGTATGTATGTATGTATGTATGTATGTATGTATGTATGTATGTATGTATGTATGTATGTATGTATGTATATGTATATGTATACATATACTTATACTTATACTTCTACATATACATATACATATACATATACATATACATATACAAATACAAATACAAATACATACACATACACATACATATATATATATGTATGATGTAAATCACTGTGTATCATTATATGTTTATCTTTCTGTAATCCATGATATCTATGTATATATATATCATGTTGTATCCACATAAAACCTTTCCAACTTCCGTTGCAATGATCCCAACGCTGGAACCCACGAACTCTCACCAATATTATAATATTAACCAAATTAATTACGGGATATTTGATACACATATGATATATATCTCTCTCTCTCATTTATATACAATATATGTGTATATATATATTATATAATATTATATATATAATATTATATATATATTATATTAAATATATATATATATATATTATATTATATATATATTACATTAAATATATATATTATATATATATTATATATTATATATTATATATATATTATATATATATTATATTATATATTATATATTATATATTATATATTATATATTATATATTATATATTATATATTATATATTATATTATATATATATATTATATATATTATATATTATATTATATTATATTATATTATATATATATATATATCCGCCGACCCCTGCCTAGCCTTGGCCTAGGCGGGGCGGCGCCCAGGATCATGTGCGACCGTGGCAATGGCCTTACTTGTACACTATTTGCTAGCACCTTCGCAATGCTGAAAATTGGCCACACAAGCCTTCCCGCCTTTGTCAGCCACCCTTGGAAACCCTTAAACCCCTTCAAACCTTTAAAACCTAAAACCCTTAAAACCTCAAAAAGCTCAAAACTGGCCGGCCTTTGTCAGCACCTCCAAAAGCTTACAAATGGCCCAACCTGCGTTCCCGCCTCTGTCAAGGCCGCAGCACACTGCTTAAGCCCCGCAAAGTGGGTCTGTCTTAGCTCTAGGTCTATATATACGGTTTTTAAACTTAGTTTTTGAGCAACTGCGAAGTTAAACATAGCATTTGGAATCTTAGGGTATAATTTTATATATATATATACATGCGCTTTCCTTCCTCCACCCTTGAAAGGGGGTCGGCGCACCAGGGCGTTAGCCCATTTATAATATATACATATATATATATATATATATTCACACACATATATATATAATGCAAACTATCCCGCTGGCAGGCCAGAGATCAGATCTTCCAAGTGACCCTTGGCCATCAACGCCTCCGACACCTCCAGCATCAGCGAGTCCGGCACCAGCCGCGCCCTTCGCAGCTCCGACAGCAGCCCCGCGAGGCCGTCGCCCACGTAGCGCTGCGCGCAGCGCAAAGCCGAGGTGACGCTGACGGCGTCAGGGGAAAGATGGCGTTGCTGGGCGGTGGACAGCCTGGACATCGGCATCCCGCCAGGGTCTGATCACAGCTGGGAAAGAAAAACCTGGAAAAATCCTATGAAAATATATGAGTTCGTCAGTTGGGATGATTATTCCCAACTGAATTGGAAAAAATCATGTTCCAAACCACCAATCAGTGAAAATATGAGGTTTTAGATTGGAAATGGGCAAAAGCTGTGGGTCCCAGCTGAAGTTGTGACCCGTGATACCTAGATGAATGTCGAAGTGACTCCTATGAAACATCGGCATCCTCCAAAATTGAACAAACAAAAATGACTAAGACAATATCAACACAAATGTTGTATACATATAATATTAAAAGGGCTACTTTATACGAATATATATATATATACCAAGGGCTATATATTCCCAGTCCTGGGTTCCTTGGCTCCCCCACTCCCCCAAGGGTATGGTACCCAGACACTGGTTAAGGGATCACTTAGAGCACCGGGAAGTGGATCACTTAGAGCACCGGATCACTTAGAGCACCATGGGATCACTTAGACTTAGAGCATCAAAAAAGTGGATCACTTAGAGCACGAGAGAATCATACCTTCAGGGAAACACTTGGGGACACAGGGCTGGGACATGGCTCATGGGGTCAGGCACAGCAACCTCATTATCTTTCTTGCTGTCCTGCAGACACAGGCACTGCA